GACATTGATAACTATCTGCGTGCAACTTAAAATAGCAAGGAAATGAATTTTCATTTTCACAACGATTTTTGGCGAAACGTAAGTATGTAGTCTTAGGAGTAAGATCATGCTCTCAAACAAACTTTTTACAATGATAACTCCCAAATCATCTACGCTGTTCTTCTTGCAAAGCTCCTTTATTTTCTGCTTTCGAGAGCACAAGAATTTTTGCTTGAATTGGATTTCAAGGAGGTTTTTTATAACTCAGTCTTGAAAACAAGGAATTCTTAACAAAAATGTCCTGCGGCAGTAGCGACCCTACGGGTCGCTAGCAAGTGGGTTGGGGCAGATACATTGATAACTGTCTGGCAACTAAAAACAGCAAAAGAATGAATTCCCATTTTTTCAACGATCTTTTTCGCAATGCGAGTAGTGATAGAAGCAAGATCAGGCTCATTTCAAGGTTTCATTTCAAGATCATTTCCATTTCCGATCTCTGGCGCAACGTAAGTACGTAGTACTAAGAGTAAGATCATGCTCTCAAGCAAACTTTTTACAATGATAACTCCCAAATCATTTACGTTAATTATCATTTCTTCCATTAAGACAAGTTCCTTCTGTTTTGTTGATTGGCAAGAGTACGGTTTTCACAAAGCAGAAGCCGCCAAAAACAAATGCAGCAAGTTTCTGTGAATTTTCACATTAAAATCTAATTAGAAGAGATGTGTTTTCGAGTGGATTTGTTGGGTCTTTCCTTCCAGCAAACCGAGCTCCGTCTGCTCATTTGCTTTTAGAAGCAAAACAATGTTTTCACAATGTAGAAGCATCCGAAAGTAAGCATTTAACAGGTTTTTGTGAGATTCAGCATTTAAAGGCAGTGGACAGGCAAAATGGACCCCTGTCAGATTTTGGTAGTTTCGGGTAGTGGACCCTCCAAGTACATCGTAGCCCCAACCCCAACTTCCAATTGATGCGCTAAGTCCTGAAAAAAGCGCTTCAAACTTCCACCAATAACGCCCTCTCAATGGCAGTAGGTGGGGCTGGTGGAGTTTTGAAGCGCTGTTCTCAGGACTTAGCGCATGAATTGGAATGTGGGGTTGGGGCTACGGTGTACTTGGGGTCCACTACCCGAGACTACCAAAATCTGACAGGGGTCTATTTTGCCTGTCCGTTGCCTTTAAACCTAGAAATTTTACAAAATGTTGCTAGAAATTTAGAAAAATGTACTACCGCATGAATCGACTGATTCTTTTCTTCCAACGAGACATAGCTCCCCTTGTTTTTTCTATTTCCAGAGGCAAAAGCAATATTTTCAGAAAGTATAAGCAATCAAAAGTGAGGTTTAAGCGAATCCCCGTAAAATTGATAGGTTATATTATCTTATTTTCCTAACCTTCATAATGTCCAGAGTCATAATCTTCTTTTCGAGAATAATGATTGTAAGGAGTTAGGCAGGATAGGAAGCAAAATGAGGCGACAGTTTTCCAAATTATGATAGCAACTGGGGTCAGACATTTGCACTAATTAGGTCTGGAATCAATGTTTCGTTGTTGTTTGAGCTCTGTACATGACACGCACTTGGTCCCTTCTTTGCTTGTTTATAAATGAGGAGGTGATCTTTGACGATTGTTGCTCATTTTTGCACTTTCCATGCGGAGCAAGCTCTATAACTTGCACTTAAAGTGCATACAGTCTGGAAAGTAACTACGAACGCCGTCAACTCTACGTCGCTGTTATGCAAACTATATGGATCCTCCTTGAGTGCATGCGCTCACCAGTACTCTCTCGTCGTTTCTCTGCACATCCTTGTTAGTTCATGTAACGCGGTTATATTTCGTCGTCGCATAATCTGGACTGCCCTCGTCGTCGCGAATCTGCTGTTAACACTGTAAGAGAACACATAGCACAACGGTAAAGCATATGGGGGAGGAGAGTACCCTCGTCGCATCGCTTTGGCAGTTACCAAAAGATATTATAGTAAGATCTTAGACTACCAATTAGGTAAATCATGAATGCTCTTTACCAAAAAGCGCGCTGATTGCGTTTTGAAATAGACAAGGGTTGTATGATTATGATGTTGATGTTGTTATGCCAATACGAGGTTTGGCACCTCGTATTGGCATAACAACATCAACTCATACGACATGCCGAGCAAGAAAAGAGGACAACCAAACTATAGACAAAGATCGTTTTTTAACGCTGAAATCATGTGCTATTTTCTGCTTGGAAAGGGATTCAGGTACGCATGTAAAAGTCGGATGTCGCTTTATCTGACCAATACGAATGGTATAAAACGCTTTTTAATCAAACTTGTGCAAGTTTGCGCGTCTACAATCTGTCTATAATAAGTCTATTCTATAAAATGTGCCTTTTCGCGGATCTGAACGCAACAGATCGCTCTCCTTTTTTGGAGTATTTCTCAAAGTTTATCGGTTATTTTTTTATGGTGGATAGCGCATTCGTTAGCTGCGTCATCGCAAATGAAAACATCTTAAATAGCCACATGCATTCGCCGATTTTGGTAATTTCAAAAAAAAATTGGCGAGACTTTTTTCACAACCTAATATTTTTTGACTAATGCTCATGTTCATCAATATATTAGGTTGTCCTGAAAACAATGTCGCATGGCATCCCACCGCGGCAGAATGGCCACAAAAATAGCGAATGGGGTATCATTTGATAGAGCAAAGCAAGCTCTACAAGATAGTTTACAAACCTACGCGGAAATCGTGCTCCACCTGAAGTTTGAATCCAAAATCTGAAAAATTCCAGATACCCGAAAAATCGTATCTCCGTTCATAGACGTCTCATGGATCTCCAATTTGCACAGGCATGTACCCTCTACACTAGACATTCACCTGCATAGTTTGTAGTATTCTTCCTTGGCTACAGTACGAGAAATAAGAATAGGTCAACAGTGCGACTATGACGGGGTTTTTCGGGTTTTTTGCAAACAATTTGATTTTTCTGGAAAACTAGCGCTTGTCTAAAGCTGAAAATTCATGGTTATACTCCTAAAGGTTCATGCTACAGAATCACCCATGTGAGAGAAGCTCAGGATTGTTTTGGCAAAAATGTGCGAAATTTCGTTTTCTCAATTTTCAGCCATGGAAAAACCGCGAAAATGCATACGTGTGTCTCGTATGGTGAGTCCACGCGTGAGCAAGTTAGGGGTTCCTAGGACTTTTCTGAACAGAAATACGATTTCTTTTCGTTTCTTTAGATCTTTAGTGCCTTGTAAAATTTGGCTCCAAACTTCACGCAAACAAACTTGGCGCAAAGGCTCGAGCTTCATTTTGTAGAGCTTGTTTTGATCTATCGGTTGATACCCCATTTACTTACTTTCGTGCTTACCCTGCCACGATTTTGCATGTTAAAATAAAAAGCGACATTATTTTCCGGACAACCTGATACATGAATTAACTATATTATGTTGTCCCAAATTTTGTCGTTTTTTTCATAGATCATTAAAACTCAGAACATCACTCCACGGACGACCTACATAGGTGCCTTTTACATCAAATTTTTATCCTTTTCCTTATTGCTATATTTTCTCTGATCTACGCTGTCTTTGCGATGTTACCGCCATGGCTTTTCGAGCAGCTTAACAGTAACGCCAAATCTTCCCTGAAATTTAGAAATCCTTCCAATATTTTCAAAAAGCGCTGGTAGCTGTTATGCAAAGCAAATCTTCGGCTACATTGTACACATCTTAGATCACACGGCCGCCTTTATCACTTCCGTAACAAATATTCATTTGCGAAAAAACCGTAGCTTTTTAATTACGTTTGCCACGTAAAATTACCGAAAATTCCAAAGAGCTGATTCTTAAAAGTAAGTCATTTGGTTATGTTGCACAAATAATGCTCAATAACAATCAAGTTTTATTTCGCAGAAACTTCGAAAGCTTCCATGTTTTTGCTGCAGCTGCGTGTTTTATGACTTTGCCAAAAATCAAGACCTCCAAGAAGAATTTTAAAGTAAAAAGAGCAGATTAGGAGAATTCAAAATACCACGGATGTCCGAGATTTGCTCTATTTGCATCCTTTGCAGTCATTTCCAAAGCTTTGGAATATAATTTCCAAGAAACAGCCGAACTTTGAGCAGATAGAAATGACGGATGAAAAATTCTAGCAATCAAAAAAACCGTACACGATTGTGATTCGAGAATGTATCCATAAGAAAGAAAAGAAAGAGCTGCTTCGGATGCACCTTGGGGTTCAAACCTTTATTGTGCGTGCTTTATAGTCGTTTGAAAAAAATCGACAAAACTTTTAAGACAAGCTTATATAATGAGGCGTAGCGTAATAAAAGAAAGGATCTGTAAAAGATTGAATGGAGTTGATAGTGCTGTAGGTTGAGATGCGATATTTGAAGTAAAACTATATGCACTGAATTTACGTCTGCATAATCATCCTTCATCTCTCTCGCTCATTGCGAGGCAATTCAGCTATGCTGTGTGGAAGTCATAACTTGACATGAGCAAGCAAAATGAATTTGCAAAAGAAATGTTGTTCATGAGCGTGAGAACTAGGGAAAGAAAACTAGGACGTGAGATTCCTTGTCGCCACCAATTCCACAAGTTCACATTTTTCAAAAATACAGTCTTATAATCACGATTTTTCCAGAAGAACAAGTGTCTGTGAGAAATTGGTTCAACATATTTTTGTTATAGTACCACAGGCACGTACATTCCTTTGTCTCTTTCTTTACTGTTCAAATAGCAAAAAAGTATATACAACAAATTACATGACATTTTTTCGAAGGAGCTCATGGTTGTTGTCCTTATTAAGCCGCACGCCATATTTATCACTCCATCTAATTCTTCAAGCACGCGGAAATAGCGTGGATGAATTGAATGAAGCTGGTGAAAATAGCAGTTAAAGCAAACCGAGGAAACTGTGTTGAGCAAAAAATTGTTATTCTTCTCTCTGATTCGATTCTTAACCTTACCCCGAAGACTCAAAGTGTGTCGTAGTCCTACATAAACTTTATTCATTTGCTTTAAAGCATCATTGTAGATTATTCGAGCACGCACTACCCGTGTTGGATGTTTCCAAAAAATATGCGACAATCTTGCCGCTGTTGCATGTGCATATGACTCGCCGTAAGTGTCTTTTATTGTACCAATGGCTGATTGGCATAACAGGCACTGCTTTTTTGGCTGGTAGAGAATCAGTATATAGTCAAATATTCAGAGTAATTACGATAGGAGAAACCATCTACACAAAAGGTACCGGCTGCCGCATCGATGCCGAATGCACGATTTATCCTGAATCACATTGTGAAACGGAAACTGACCTTTGCGTAGCTCCCGAGATATCAGATTCAGAAGCTTTCGACACTGATATCATCCCAGCGAAAATTGTCTCAAGTATGAAATCGTCATCCGAATTGGGGCAAAGAAGCAAATTACACGAAGGCGGAGTCTTGCTGGTCCATAATGATTCTGAGGCAGAATTGTCCGGAACAACTTCCAGCTATGAATCTTTGGCTGGCGCAACTGTAAAGGTTGCTATTGTAGCTCAGGAAAGCAGTACAATTTGTCCGCAAAGCGTTGGCATGTCAGATACTCTGAGGAAGAGTATCCTTGCTTTGCACAATTCAAGGAGGTGAGTTGTGATTGATCATGTTTTTCAACATCTCAAAAATGATGAAATGTTAAGATCACTGCTTGCCCGAGGTTTAGTAGCGAAAAAGAATGGACGCTTTTTGCCAATGGCTGGGAACATGATAAAATTAGTAAGCCTACAATTTGTAATGTCTTTTGCGAATAAGTATCCGTGCAAGAAAGTGAAATGATGATCTTATCTTTTATTTTCTCATATAATTGAAGGCAAACCTACTATTTTTTCAAATGATGCGGTGCGTCTGTCTCAAATCAACTTCACAGAACCCAATTACGGCGAGCTTCTGCTGTAATACCGTTCCCCAATCTGAATCCAATTAAAATTTCCTCTATACATTGTAAGACATTGTTCAATATCGTAATTGAATTGCTTTCATATAAGTCATACATAATCGTCCAGTTGCATAAGTTTTCCAAAGTAATGCTCACACTTTATACGTAGATACTAGCTTGCTGCATAAGTTCTATACGATTTGGAATTGAATTCAAAACATTTATCACAACTTCTTTTAAGTCAATCTTTTTCTATAATCACAGCTTTTATAGATTGACCAAGTTTTTGGCTTTTGAAATGGTACCAATTCTTCCACAAGCTCTGTTAAAGAAGAAGCAAAAACTCGAAAATATCACAGTGTTCTCAAACCATTTTTTTTGACATGACGATGCTCTATTGTAAGAACTGACATTCAACTCAAGTAGCCATCTACAGATGGAGAAAATTTTGTTGATTATTCTGCAACCAAGAAGAGTCTATATGATTCTCGATGCTGAGAGAATTTTTCGACCTAATGAGAACCCTTATGACTTTGCTTTGATATACGCTTAACACCTATGTTTGAATCATGAAACTTTTATTGCCGCAAGCGAGAAAACTACCCCTTTCACGGGTAAAAGGGCGCATCAGTTTTTTTTTTCAACTAGCTTGAACATAGAACAAATTTCGCGACCAAAGGATTTTCTACTGGACTGCTTCTTACCTAAAAGAATTGTGTGGGAAAGCTACCATTTCGCGAGGTGCAGTGGTGACCGCGCTGCTTGCGTGAAAACTGAAAAAGACGCGTCTTGTATTTGTAAAATTAGGGTAATTGGATAATAATTGCATTAGGTTATGGACCTGTTAGAAAAGGTGCCGCGAACGGGAGAAGTAGTTGGTGGATGGGCCCTGCTAGCTCCTCACTCTAACACAATCAGATAGAACTCATCGATTGCCTCTAGTCACGGAGAGTTGTAGAACCATTGTATGGGTAACTAATCTTCGATAATGAATTCTACACGAAAGGCGATTTTTAAGCAAAAGTAAATTTAGGCATAAGTTAGTACATCATGCTTTATTCCGTGGCCGATACAAGGGTTTGACTTAGATGGCGCATTGTGGAGATTTTCTTTCAGAAGCGCATTTTTTAAATACAAATATTCCGGCTATCTGAGATCTTGAGTCTACAATCTCGTTAGACTGGCAAGGGAATGGTTAGAAGTCGAAGTGGTCAATCTAAGCAAACTGCACAATATTAGATGCAGAATAGAATGCGGATTCTAAATCTGTCTCCTATCTGCTTAACATTTTGTGGATGAAGCTATAAGCCATTAGCTGTTATATCGCTAAAGTATTGTGCGTGCAAAGTGCAAATGCTGTACAAAGCCTTTTTCAGCTTACGCTGGTCCAGAACATTTGGCTTTTAGTTCATTTATTCCATACCTATAGGTGAGCTGAAAAGGCAATTGGGTTCTTGGAATTTTTAGTACGCATTTTTCGCTATAAAATTGCTCATAATTTCGTCTACAGAGGTTTGACAGATGCGGAAGGCAGATTCAAAATCAGATGTGTATACTGCATCCAATGGTGTGCAGGTGTTTGGATGGCCATTCTGACTTCTGACCACCTTGTGAGCATTTTAGCAAAATTCGATATTATCACGAAGCAAGAAAAGTACTTTTTAATTACCGCGACCGCGTGAAAAGCGGAAATCTTTTGAAAGAGCTGCTTCGAAAACGAGGCAACGAAAAACAGAGCATATGCGGTAAAGATTCTGTGGTTTTCCAAAAATCGTAGCTTTTGCTAAGTGAACAGATTTGCTTTGTTGTAATTTTGTTTAAAAAACCTGGGGTGGTAGTAATTTGATCGAAACCGAATCTTAGCTAAGGACTCATAACATGAAGTATCAGCAGCTTTACACTGAAACCACGTGGTAACCAATCGAAATCCACCACGTGGCCATTTTTTCACTTGATTTTGAACTTAGGAAAGTGATGTCATCGAAGGAGATCGAATATCCAACCATCCTCACGCTTGGGCCCTCAATTGCATTTTACCAAATTTGCAGTTCGGTCTCTAGCTTTGCATATTCTCATAATTTTCTAGAGAAAATCTAATGAGCTCTAAAAGTAACTTTTAGAATAATCTTTCTCAGTCCCCTTAACGTGTAAAACCATCACATACTTGTTTCAAATGAAAAGTGGTTAGAAGTACTTGGAATTTGCAGAAAAAGATTAGAAATCGTCGTTACATGAGCCTTTTCCATCTTTTCACTTGAAATGACTTGTTCCAGTTGCAAAGGCGCATTGAAATTTTTGGCACTTTTTCGACACCACGATTTTGACGATTTTCTCAGCGTAGGTAGCGAAAAGGTACAGATTTCTTCAAATGAAACGGCAATTTCCCCGCTACAAACTAGTTTTCTCGTTGTGGACCTAGACTTGAAAAGAAATTAAAATAGACGACCGTTTCCAAAAAAACGTCACCATCTCTTTCTCGTGACCAATAACGTATCTGCATTTTTTCGCTGTCTATGTTGGAGGATGTAAATTGTACTGGGTGTCGAGACGAAGTCGAATAATGTGACTATTGACTCCTGTATGAGAAGAATTGATAGTTAAATTTTTGTGATGTCTAAATCTCTCCTTTTTGAAACTCTAAAAAATTTCTTAAAGGCCGTGCATACTTTATGCGATTTCAGTCGCGGCGCGATTCGGCAATTCGCCAAATGTCTTCGGATCCAACATTAGCAAACTGCACATGCACAGTGTGTATAACTTACGTAAACTGATGGAATGCCCTATCTTCTGTACATTTATAATGTGCTTACAATGAGTTATGGACACCTGGAATATTGCCAAATCGCGTCGCGATTGAAATCGCTTGAAGTATGCCCGGCCCTTTAGTGCAACTCTCTGATTACGTTGAAAACCGGTGTTGGCACCTGCTTGCTTTTCGCACAGATTTTTTTTCTTTGCAGATCTACAGCTGCGCATTGGAGACGTTCGCTTTTTCATACGCTGCAACATGTTCGATGGTGGAATCAGAGCCGGATACTAGGGTTGGAATAGGAGAACTGGTCGCAGTTTTGAGCGGGAGCAATGCGACTACGTTTGAAGAAGCAGTAGACTTGGTAACACAGTTTATTTCAAGTTATTGCTCAATGAGGACTTGGATAGAAGTAAGGTCAGAGGTTTGACCGCGGCATCTCAAAGGATTAATCTCTCTTTTGACACATAGAAAAGTAACGATAGTGGCTAAAGTTTACTGTAGCAGGGTTCCATGAGTAAACCTAAGCGTGTGATTTCATAAAACATAAAAGCTAAATTGTTTTTTCAAGAAAGTAGTTATACCGTATTATGCTGAAAGCACAATGTTAATCCAGTAGTTCGCAAGTTCTTTAGAATAGTCTATGTTGCGTGGATATCGCTCTGTCGTAAAGCTAAAAAACATGCAACAAGTTCTTATAGTTTATTTTGTTTATTTTGGAGCATTTCTTAGGCTGCGAGAACATGGTGGGATACACTGCAAAGCGAGATGAACGGTCTGGGAAAAGCAGTAATACTCTCATTTACACACGACGAGGCGATATTCCAGTTTTTCCAGGTAACGAAATAGTTCTCGATTTTTATTAGCTGATTCCTCTTACAGATGGCATGGGCAGATGTACGTGAAATTGGATGTGGAATTGTTAAGTGTGACGACATGATAAATTTTGTCTGCAGATATTACCCAGCGTAAGTTGTAAATCCACGTAACTTCCACTTGCTCTTTGTGTGAGGTGTAATTTCTCAGTGGCATCGAATTTTATCAGCAAGTGTATGACCCGAGAGAACCGTGCGAATCATGTCCGTGGGGAACAAGATGTGAAGTAGAAACGGGACTTTGTGAGCAACCGGAAGACAGCGCCAAAGGACTATATATTTCGTCGATTCTATTATTAATCTCAACTTTGCTGTTGTAATTACATATTTGTCCAATCTGCAATGTGTCTTTCTTGATTTTGCCAACATATCTTGAAAATACTGATTCTATTTGTTGATTGCCGTTCATTGCAATATCTTGTGACCAACAGTTCTTTATGAATGTCATTTAATGGGTCGTAGAACTCCTGTTCAGCGCAACTCGGCTGGGCTATGGCCTACGTTGAACGTAGGACGCCTCAGCCCGGGGTATAGTGAGCTATTGGTCAGGATGGGAATCGCATTTGAGCCTAAAGATTCTGTGAGTTCTCAAAAAAACACTTGAGTAGGATTGTTAGAACTGTTAAGTGACTGGAATTCAAGATCTTCGAGAGGTTATGGATTGAGACCGGCTAGCGGTGATTTTTTTTTGCGGCATCGCTGAGCAATCTTTGATATCGGCAGCCATCAAAAAATTGATGATGACCGCTAACAAAAACTTCGCGTAGCAAACGAGATAGATTGAATTCACAATAGTTTAGCATATATACCGATAAAAAAGCACAATTGTAGAAAAATGAATAGAATTATAAACTTACGCTCTTTACATTTGAGGCAATTTTTCTAAAGAATCAAGCACCACATGCAGAAAAAGACAAAAAACCTCTTTTTTTGTCACTTGCAGCAACCAACTGTTGACCAGTCCTTCGCTTACTTGAGCCCCAAAATTGTGCCGTTTTGCGAGTTTTGCACCGCAGCGATACGTCTACTATGTCCCGTAAGTTACTAACGCGCGGATCACCTTGATTTTGTCTGACTACCCTTCTGTACACTATCTCCCTCGACTTATTCTAAAATCTACCCTAAGTGGCATCTTGTTGAACTGATTGTGGCAATTGAAAGGACCGTTTTCGGACTGTTCAACGAATTCCTAATGCACGTAAAGGTTGTCGGTTATGAGCTTTCCGTCAGAATTTCTTCTGCATGGCTCGTCGCAGGTCGATGGATAGGGGTTTACTTCGAGCACTGTCTGATTTTGTTTGAAAACAAAGCTCACTTCTATCTCTTTGAATAATACAAATTTTTATTGGTTAAAAAAGCTCAGATTTTTTCAGGATCCACGAATCTTTCTGTTAATGGGTTTTTTCTCTAGTCTCAGAGCCAAGTAAAATGTAAGATGTGCTTTTATGCGCTTAAAGGCAGCGTCCAGGCAAGATCCATCCACCCAGATTAGCACATAGTTGTAAAGAGGGGCCCATGAGTATCCGATCTGCGTTGGTCCAATCCTTTGACGTGCCCTCTAAACGGAGATACGGGTCTGTGACACGTATCACAAACCACCCCTGAGGATGAGTGCTTACGCATGTATGCGGTTGCATTGCAGTTGCATTGCAATTGCACTGCACACTGCAATGCAACTGCATCCGTACAGTTGCAGCTCCTCCCGCTGGCATGACGATGGGGATGAGCAATTCGGAACTCGTCCGCTCCTTGAAGAGAGGGTCCCCAAAAACCGGGTTTTGGGAGTTTTGAACAATTTAGACTTTACAACTGTAATCAGGGCCACGCAAAGGCCCCAGAATGGCAGAAGCATGAAAGGCGAAATTTTGCCCGGAGGCTGCCTTTAAATAGCTGTGATAACCTTCGTTTCTGTCGATTCTCCATGATAAGGTCGCCATTTCGTCTCGATGCCTCGAAAATCTTTCTTTCTGCTCCATTTTTATATGCCAGTTTGCCCTCACTGTTTCTTTTGCGACTAATATGCTTACTTACCCTCTTATATCAAAAGGCGCCCTACCTTGAATTCTGGTTAGATCAATAAAATTCATAAATGCAACAGTATTTTTTCAAATACGTTTGTTGCGTAATCAGCATGGTCAGTTATCCTTGCATTAGTTCCCAACGCCGCAGCTCAAGGTTTGCTGCATCAATAAACCAACAACAATTGATAACGAAATGTTGACAATGATCCAAATCGGTTAATAAATGAAATCCTCTATTTAAGGTGTGTGTAAACAAGCACAACCAAAAACATACAGGCAACTAACATTGTGCTCTATTTACAGAGTGCTTCGAAAAGATGTGCCCACTGTTTTATTATTAACAACTCAACGAAGTCTTTCGAGAAGCCATAGTTACCAATTTGTATAACTGGCTTTAACTGAAAGTCACAATGTAGAGCTATCATTTGAGTCAACCGATTTGGCTTCGCTAAGGCGGGGCTCCCTGACCTAATTAAGGCTAGCTAGTGATCAGAGGGCACCCGCGCGAGAGAGACGCAGGTGCGTCGAGGACGCGAGCGGCCTTAAGTACGTCACAAAACCCGCCTTGCCAAAGCCAAGCCAGTTGAATCAAAGGTTAATTACCGTTCTCTCTGTGTCACTGCAGGATTACGGTAGAAACTTTGGGGATTGATTCGTTATTGAGGGCCGTATTTCACCGCTAAAAGTAAAGAAGCTGGAAACTCTTATACTAGATTGATCAGAGTCGCTGTTTTTGAATGTGAAACTCCCATTTCATCGTAACGCTTTTTTAAGTTTGCCACATTCCATATAATCAGGTTAAAGCGTAGGGTGTGGCACGCCACACCGGGGGGTCATACGAAGAGGTCAGAGAGAGGAGGGGTTGTAACGAGATGGAGGAAATGGTAATCAAGAAAAAAAGCTCTAAAACTGTATAAGTAAGAGAGCAACAATGTCGCATGCCAATGAATAAAGTTACTATAACAGATGAAGATCATAGTCGTAAACGACCTCCCGAAACATATCCTACCATGCAATACTTAGTCTCCTATTGAGATACTGACTTACCGTGTACCTAGTAACAACAAAAAGGCTCTAAAAAGCAAAATGAGTATCATTTTCGTAATCTTCACGTAAAAGACTCATATGCTCCAACGTTACGAATATCTCCAGATATTGTGCCACACAAGTGAAATGGTCATTTTCAGATAACTTATGATTAACTTCTCTCAGAGGTAAGTTAGCTACCTCTTCTTGTACTTAATACAATACACTGCTCCTTGACTGTCCACCTTAAAAATCCTTTCTTATAATCTCCAAGCAATGGAGTTAGGAACCAGCCAAAACCCATTTTTCGTTTTCAGTGGTTTCACTTTTAGCAATTAATACGCAAACTAAAGAAGGCGAAATGCTCAAAACAGCTGTATAGATACTACGAGTGTTAGTCTGTTGATTTATATACATCTCATTGTTAAGAGTTTTCATAAACTAACAAGGGAACCGTGTCGAAGTGGCCTTTCCAGACGAGACCCATACTGCTTTGAAGAGCATTAATCGGTGATTCCAAATCTGCTTTCCAAATCTGCCAAGCGCCTCTGGACGCCGAGTTATGCTCGTTTTTCAGGTCAAAAAATTGAACGCAAAACTGAAGCAAAATCGCCCAAATTTGCTCAAATGGTCCAGTGTCAAGTATCAGAGCTGTTTATGCAATGGATAAATTTTGTTCAATATGCTAATACTTAACATTACTTTATCTGAACGCTGGAAAGATTGTAACAATCAATTTTACCTAAATTCTGCATTCATTTTTCGTTCCGAAGAACGGTCATAACTCGGCGTCCAGAGGCGCTTGGCAGATTTGGAAGGTAGATTTGGAATCACCGCTTAATACCCTTCAAAGCTGTATGGGTCTCATCTGGAAAGGCCACTTCGACTCGACACGGTTCCCTTGTAAGTTAATGGGGTGTGGCTGCCACACCTTTTTAGGGTTTATGCCATACTCCATAAACTTACCTTTGAGAAGTTCAAGCATCATTTTTTATCACTTAAACTACTGAACCTTCTTCTCTTCCCACTGACATTTCCATCCAAAACCATTCCCTTTAGAAAAAGATATAGTGATTTTTCGTTGCTCATCTTCATCATAGAAACCAGAAAATCGTCCCAAAAATAATGGACTACGGAAGCAAGCTGGATATGAGCCCTACGTTTATTGCGAGGAGACGCGAAAATGAGCACTTTGAACCATCTGCTTCATACATTGATTTTTCTACGCGCACGCCTTGGATGGTCTCGTTATTCCGATTTCTGTCCCTGATCTTGAATTCACATTTCATTTTCCCTTTTGTTGTTTTTTCGGCAACTTTGCTTCGCTCTAAATAGCCCAAGATTGTTAATTTAACTGACTTTCTCGCCTGATTATTGCTAGTTGCTCTTGCTAGTGTATGCTTGTTGTTACGAATACTTGTTTCAATCAGTCTGGTCAGTTCTTTGCGCGAAATTTGGTCACAGTAATTTCTAGTACTTTTTTTGCTATGAACCAGCATGGAAATGACCAAGACCCGAATTAAGTATTCGCTACAAACACTCATTGCTTTTGACGCTGTTGTAAGGCTACTAATCAAAAGTTTTGTTTATGATCATCTTTTGCACATCATCTAAATATAAAAGTTTCCAAATCAAATTCACAAACTTTTTTTTTATAAAGGGAGGAAAAATTTTCCCGCGAGGCCTGGAATAGAACTGGTAAAATAAAGGCCTGAATTATCCGGATTGTATTGAACATTTCTGGTAAGTGAATTCTGCTTTCCTTTTACAGTGTTCCATCTTACTAGCGCGCACATTACTTTTTTAACAAGTCTTGCGGCGGCAAGTACAATTTATGGCCCTTTATGGAACATGTGCTGTTTTTCCTTCTTAGTTTACTTTCAAAAAGTCGCTCTATCAATCCGCGTTCAGTAGCTTTAGCTTTAGTGAAGATTCTAACGAAATAACCGCTGCTCATACTTTGTTTGTGCCTCCCCCCCCCCTGAGTCAGCTGTTCGTATCGTTACGCTGTTTTTATTATCTTCTTATGTCTTTCGTAGCATAATGTTGCATTCCAAACTAAGGTTGTGTTTTGGAATGTGAACTGCATAATTCTGTTGCAATAGTTTACTGCTTCCACTGACTTTGTCGCAGAGACAACCGCTTGATCCTTTAAGAGTATGAATGTATGGCAGAGGAGACTTGAATTCAGTATGCTTACTTTTGGTTTGAAATTTCAACTACTCAGACTTGTTGGCGATTACGCCTGCCCAAAGTTTCAAAATGATCAAGAA